ATTAGTAAGTGTGTATTTTTAAGACAAATTTGTCATATATCCCAAATCGATGAAACATATTTTATAATTCTGCCTGATGAAATACATTCTATTCCAGTGAGATAAACTAAAGTTTGTTTGTTATATATACCAAATCACTGACACAAACGGAAGTTTAATTTGTCATTGTCATATAGTACCAAATCAATGAAAAAGAAAAACAACAACTATATTTGTGTCAAAAAAGAAATGTTATTAGGGGTGTTCAAGTTAGTGATAATTAATTAATTATTTATAAAATGTCATTATTTCGATTTCGTTCAGTTCGGTAATAATTTTAAAAAATAACTAAAATAATCGAATCGACCGAATTATATAAAAAATATTATATATATATATATTTATATATTTTGTAGTTTAGTAAAATAATATTGAAGTTAAATAAAAACATAGTAAAAAATAAATATATCATTTTAAATTACAAATTATAATATATTTTGATCATTTTTTTAATTCGATTAACCAACCAAATTAAACAATTATTTCGGTTCGATTAACCGACCAAATTAAACAATTATTTCGGTTCAATTTTAGGTTAAGTTTTGGATATAAGTTCGATTGGTTCAGCTTTAAGAAATGGCTTATTCAGTTTTACAAACACCTTAATTGTACTTTTTTTAGGCAAAATTGCATATAAAAGCATCACCTTTCATGCTTTTGCATTTTAATCACGACCTTCATATATTAACACTTAAGTACATGATCTTTTGCTTCTTTGCAAATCAAATCATGCATGCCTTCTACCTCGCCGGAATAGAGTTGATGTGTTTCGTCGGAATCCACATGTGGAATGTTCAAAAAAAGAAAAAAAAAAATGAATTCCATGTCGCCCATTCTCGTAATAACACATAGATTAAAAAAAAGTTAAAAAACACAAAATCCACGTCGTCTTCTCTCCCCCAAATCGATTATTTAAGTCTCCCGTAACAGATTCACACACACAATCGAACCCTAATTTTGATCTTCAATTTCTGTGAAGATGGCGAAATTTCTATGAAAATTGCAAAATTTCTGTGAATCATATGCTCTTCAACTTCTGTAAACTTTCTCCACAACCCTGAATTAGCACCCCAAAATTCCAATTCCTCTTCCCATACGAACCCTAATTGTATTTTCAAAATCCCCAATTTTTCCTGAAAATGTCGAGTGGATCTAGTAGTCGAACAACAACTCATCAGCCTCGTATGTGTTTCCAAAATTTGGAAGTGGAAATGCTAACCTCGAACACGGATAAAAATTCAGCTCGGAGGTATCATCGTTGTGTTAAGAGATGGCCTTTACAGAGGATTTTTTTTAAGCTTCATTCTTCTTCGATTTAGGGATTTTCTGCAAGGCGACGTGGATTTCAATTTTAGTTTTTTAATTTTTGGTGCAGTCGACGTGTCAAAATAAGACTGGACAAAGTGAATTTGCATTTTTCTCGTTTTTTCTTTTAATTCCACACTAGTACAGTACCCGTGCGATGCACGGGATGGTATATTTTCCTAAAATGTTTAACGTGTGAAATATTAAAAATAATATAATTTATATATATGTAATAAAAATAAATGGATTGCAAAGAAGGAAAAAAAATATAAATTATTGAACACTTTCTTTGTGAAGTAAAATTTGTGAAGGTTTGGTATATTTGATTATGAATAGAAAAGTATGAAATACTACCTGCGGACCGTTGAGATAGATGAGAAGATTTACTTAGAATATATAGAATAAATATTGAGATAATGATTTACCTTTTACCTAGTATAGATAAAATAAATATTGACATGATGTGGGAAAATTATGACGAATTATGTCATAAATTCGTTTAGAAAATATTCAAAAATTAGATTTATTTTTTATTTTTTAAATCTTTACAGTAATTCGTACGTTCCTTTTCATACGCTTAATTTATCAATTTTACACATACAAATCAAAATTAATGCAACTCGAAATATTATATAACAAATAAAATGAGATTTTTATCTAACATTTAGTATATTGCCGGAAAATTTTTTATAAATCTTATTCTCTTTTTATGCACATAGATATTAAAGAATGAGTAAAAAAAATATCTAAATATGTTTAAAAGTATCTAATATTATATGTGTTAACAGTGTTACAACCAAAAGACATTAAGAATACGCAGACTATTATATAACATATGTGAAAGTATTAAAATATTTTATATTATTATTGAAAAATGTGAAATTACCTCAATTTTGTCTAGACTATTTTACAAGAAAAATATATATACTTAAAGTTAGCACACACATATATATATATCCTTAAAATTTGTCCAACTAACATGTTTAAAAGTATATAAAATTTTATATATAAAATACGTTTAAAGTTTACATATTTTACAAAAATTAGACTGCTCTCAGTTTATATATTGTTGCTCTCATATTCGGATAATGTATTATGCATTTAATGAAAGCACCTACGATACAAATTTATAAATATTAATTAAAATAATTTTCTAAACTATATAAAATTGAAATAACAAAGGTAAATATTACCTGTTCATCGTGAAAATGTGTTACAGCTCTCCCGTTCGTGATGGGTTTCAATAATGCGGACTGCTCTCAGACACAAAAAAGGTTTGTTATAAATATTAATCAAAATAATTTTCTAAATTATATAAAATTGAAATAACAAAGGTAAATATTACCTGTTCATCATGAAAATGCGTTACAGCTCTCCCATTCGTGATGGGTTTGAATAATGCGGACTGCTCGTGATGGGTTTCAATAATGCGGACTGCTCTCAGACGCAAAAAAAGATTTGTTATAAATATTAATTAAAATAATTTTCTAAATTATATAAAATTGAAATAACAAAGGTAAATATTGTCTGTTCATCATGAAAATGCGTTACAGCTCTCCCGTTCGTGATGGGTTTCAATAATGCCGACTGCTCTCCCGTTCGTGATGGGTTTCAATAATGCGGACTGCTATCAGACGCAAAAAAGGTTTGTTATAAATATTAATTAAAATAATTTTCTAAATTATATAAAATTGAAATAACAAAGGTAAATATTACTTGTTCAAAAGGTTTGTTATAAATATTAATTAAAATAATTTTCTAAATTATATAAAATTGAAATAACAAAGGTAAATATTACCTGTTCATCATGAAAATGCGTTATAGCTCTCCCATGGGTTTCAATAATGCGGACTGCTCTCAGACGAAAAAAAGGTTTGTTTCTTTTGTTAACATACCCCAGTCTGGAAGCATTATATATCAAGTGTACCCCAGCCTGCTCGTGATGAGTTTCAATAATGCGGACTGCTCTCACACGCAAAAAAGGTTTGTTATAAATATTAATTAAAATAATTTTCTAAATTATATAAAATTGAAATAACAAAGGTAAATATTACCTGTTCATCATGAAAATGCGTTACAACTCTCCTGTTCGTGATGGTTTCAATAATGCTTTGTTATAAATATTAATTAAAATAATTTTCTAAATTATATAAAATTGAAATAACAAAGGTAAATATTACCTGTTCATCATGAAAATGCGTTACAACTCTCCTGTTCGTAATGGTTTCAATAATGCGGACTGCTCTCTCCTGTTCGTGATGGGTTTCAATAATGCGGACTGCTCTCAGACGCAAAAAAGGTGTGTTATAAATATTAATTAAAATAATTTTCTAAATTATATAAAATTGAAATAAAAAAGGTAAATATTACCTATTCATCATGAAAATGCGCTCTCCCGTTCGTGATGGGTTTCAATAATGCGGACTGCTCTCAGACGCAAAAAAAGGTTTGTTTCTTTTGTTAACGTACCCAGTCTGGAAGCATTATATATCAAGTTTACCATAGCCTGGAAGCATTATATTGTATATGCGATGAAAAATTATTCTCTGTATTTTTTTCTCTGTATTTTTTTTTTCTCTGAACTCGTGAATGATGAGTTGTAATGTGGTAGTTGAATATCCTTTTATACAATTTTTTATTAACAAAAGTGATAAGATAATTATGGATTGTATTTGGATAGATTTTAAATACCATGATTTTTGGGATGCAACAACAAAATATGCAATCACATGTATATATCTTATCACGTTAAAGGTATATCCATCCCTAAAAAACAGGAAAAAAAAAACATATATTTTGAAAGGATTTTTAAATTAGTTTCTACAAATGGAAAGTCAATGGGGTTGTTGACCAATTTTTTAAAAGTTTCCACAAATGATTTATTGACCTCTCTTTTTCAATATATATAGATGTGTATTCTGGCAAGCCACATCATTTTATTGGTGTTAGAGATGAAAGGCGTGCTTCGACTTGCAAAGGGATGAAAGGTCATGTACTTAAGTGCTAATATGCAAAGGTCGTGATTAAAATGCAAAAACATGAAAAGTGGTGTTTTTATATGCAATTTTGCCAATTTAATAATATTAAAAGAATTGCGAGCTTCTTTACAACTTTGTCAAGGGCTTCAACGGTGAATTTAGATGATGCAGACAATACGTGCAATCACGTTAGTTCAACTGTGATGGGCTCTAATAAAATATTTATTGTTTTACTTGTTGATATTTATTCATTTTTAGTTTATATATTTCTTTCTGTTCATTTTCCTTCCANTTTATTTCACAAACTCACAGTTGCCCCTCAAATGGGCTATGAGAAAAGCATTTGGATTCAGGGAATATGGGGTTTCAGAACAATATTTTTTTGTCAAATTCATTGGTGAATAAATTCAAGAATTCCTACATTTGATTATCTGAAAATAAAATGTTAAAAATAAACTGAGAGAAATTAAATGACAATGGGGTTGGATTATTACAACATATTGAAGGTGGGCAAAAGTGCAACAGAGGATGATCTGAAAAAATCTTATAGAAGGTTGGCCATGAAATGGCATCCAGACAAGAACCCCAACAACAAGATTGAAGCTGAGGCCAAATTTAAGCAAATCTCAGAAGCATATGATGTATGTGTGTTTGTGTGTTTATTTGTGGCACTTTTGAAAAAGTGTTAATTTTTATGCTCTTATGTTTTTGTTGTTTCATTAAAGTTGGTTCTGGTGATGTTGAGGTGTTTGAAGAAATGCCACAATTGGATTGTTTATCTTTGCCCTGATCTTTTCATATATAGAATAGATGAAGATGGTCATTCTGTATTTCTTCTCTTGGGCCTCCTGCAACTATATGTACAATATTGGTTTTTCGGTTCGGTTCAGTTTGGTTAACCGAGCATTTACATCCAAACCGAATCGAAAACCGAAATTCTACGGAAATAAAATCTGAAAACCGAACCAAATAATCAGTTGCATTTTCAGTTTGGGCCGAAATTTCGGTTTTCTTGATTCCGTTAACCATATCCTGTGCACCTAATAGGATGCCTGTTTTGATTGATTCTGGAAAAAAACCAGAAAAAAAAAAAAAAGATCATATCTGAATATTTCATTTTACATTTATGTTTTCTTTGGGTTTACTCAATGTTGGTCTGTGTGTTTAATTTATTTATTCCATTCTTTGTGCAAGATTTCCCCTTTCTAACATTGAATTTCTTTATCACTAGCAATATCATATAATGTTTCAAGATTTTCCTTTGTTGTTTTCCTTCATTTTGTTGTCCAATTGTTTGTTAGGTCTTGAGTGATCCTGAGAAAAGGCAGATATACGATCAATACGGCGAAGAGGGTCTCAAAGACATGCCCCCACCCGAGTCGACTCAAAACGGTTTCAACTCACGAAATGCAGAGGATATTTTCGCCGAGTTTTTCGGAAGCAGCCCTTTCGGGTTCGGCTCGTCTGGAGCCGGCCGGTCCACAAGATTCTCCTCCGACGGAGTTGGAGGAATCTTCGGTGGACCCGATAACGTGTTTCGAAATCCGAGCGATGGGAATGGAGCTAACATGCCCAAAAAACCGCCACCTGTCGAGAGCAAACTCCCGTGCAGCCTCGAGGAGCTTTACGCCGGGTCGACCCGCAAGATGAAGATCTCAAGACAAGTGGTCGATGCAAACGGGTAGATTTTGTGTTTGTTTCATTCTGTTTTGAATTGGTTCTATATGTTTATCTTGTGGGGCTGCAAACGAGCCGAGCATTAGCCTTATCGAGCAAGGTTGATTTTGACAAAAGAAGACAATAGCCCGAGATCGATTGAAATCGAAATGCTCGGTAAGATTGCTCGAGCTCGGCTCGAGTTCGAATCAAATTTCAAATAAAATTACCATAAAGTACATATGTAAAATATTGTAATATTTATATATAAGGGGTATTTTAGTAATTCACTACATATCTCGAGCCACTCGCGCCAAAACATATGCTCGAGATCGACTCTCGAGTTTGGTCAAACTTGAGATCGAGCGGAGCTTTAACTCTTTATTACAAGAAAAAACAACAAAAAAGAGTGGAAAAGGTTTACTCTTTATTACAAGAAAAAAAAAAAAAAATGTTTCAAACAACTTTCAAGAATCGGCATTGTTTTTTCGTTCAGGCGATTATCATCCGAGTCGGAGATCCTAACGATCGACGTGAAGCCAGGCTGGAAAAAAGGCACGAAAATAACCTTCCAAGACAAAGGCAACGAGCAGCCCAATCAGCTTCCGGCAGACTTGGTTTTCCTGATCGACGAGAAGCCACACACAGTGTTCAAAAGGGACGGCAATGACCTCATCATGACCTACGCGATGACTCTAGCAGAAGCCATCGGGGGCACAACCGTAAATTTCACCACGCTCGATGGGCGTAGCCTATCTATCCCGGTCGCTGACATCATCAGCCCGGGATACGAGGTCGTAGTTTCTAGAGAAGGAATGCCGATTGCTAAGGAGCCCGGCAATAGAGGCGAACTCAAGATCGTGTTCGAGGTTAAGTTCCCGACCAAAGTAACTGCCGAGCAACGGGCCGGGCTTAAACGAGCTTTGGGAGGTTCGTGAATGTAACTGGCCGAGCTTAAACGGGCTTTGGGAGGTTCATAGAGTGTTGTTTTTCAATGAATGTGTATTGTGTGTACTGTCAACTGTGTACTCTTTGCTGTGTTTGCTTTCTTTCTGGTTTTTTGTTGTTAGGGGTAATTCAAATGCTACCTTTTAAAATTAACTGAATAAGAAGAAATGTGTTGATTTTGATGACACAAATATTTTCTTGAGGATTGTAAGTTCTGCAAACAGCCCTCTTGAGGAACACTTTTTTTTCAGATGCACACAAATACTTGGGGTATTTTGTGAAATTAGGCTAAATTTCAGGGGATGCTTTTGTAGTTTAACCTTTGATTGTAACCAGTTAGTAGTAGTGTCTGTTGCTGCTAAATCACCTTTTGCTTAACCCAAGTGATTGGAATAATTAGGTTGTGGTTATTAGTTCTTCATAAGCTGGTCCCAAAATTGTGTATCAAGAATTTATTTTATTTGCTCTTTTTATTGGTAATTCAATGATTTCATCTGCAATTATGTATGCTGAGCTTCTTTATTTCTTTTTCCCCCTTGTTTCGGAAAAAAATGACCTCCTTTATTTACTAGTAGCATTTTCATTTGATTAAAAGAATTGAGCCATTTGTAAGCTCAGCTTGGCTTGTTTAGTTAACTAGCCAAGTTCAAATCAACTCCTTAATGCTAATTAGGCTTGATAAAAAGAGGTTTTTACTTCTTGAACTTTTAGCATAATTTGGCTCGTTGAGGCTCAAAGCTCATTTATTGGCTCAATAAAGGCTCGAGTATCAAAAGCTCAAGCTTTGTAATAACTAATTAAAACTATCCTTCAGATTTGGTCTAAATTATCCTACAAAATGGGCAACTTTTCCATTAGTTCATATTGCCTCCCAACTTATCGGATATCCATAAATCATATACTCATAAAATATATCTGTAATTGAATAATGGAACTTGCAAAATTATTCACTTGTGTATACTATATCCACAAAAAAGGGACTAAAATATATATTAAAAAAAATATTACATTAAGATGAACCTAATTATCAGGTGAAGATACAGAAACAAGTAACATTCCATGTATTATGACACTGTCTTCCTTTTTAATTAACAAGTGCATAACCCATCTTTTTAATATATATGAATCCTTCCTCTCATACACTACATCTTTTTCACATCTTGGAATTTAAAACAAACCCATATATACACAAAGCTATGGCCCTAGGAACCCATATTGATCAAAACCCAGCATGATTCTTGCGAAATTTCTCGAGCAACAAGATCAACCACAACAATAATCGAGCCGCCTCTCCAGATGTAAGCATTGATAAT